TTTTGGTCAATGACATGAGACAAAGTATATGTGAAATGCTGTATGAAAAGTGAATTTACTCTGTAAATCTTCACCCAAATCAAAATAAAATTAAAAAAAAAAAAAACTAAAAATGGATCAAATACCTAAATTTAAAACCTTGATATAAAGATCATCAAATAAAAAATAGGCAAACTTAAGGACCCTAATTTATGGTATAAATAGACTAACAAATATAACCCAAAATGTAAAACCAGCAGAAGATACATTAGATGACAGGGGCCTTCTAAAAATTAAATTCTTAGGAGTGTCAGAAGACTTCTCCAAAAGAGTAAAAAGAGAATCTACAGATTGGGGAAAAAATACTTGGCAATGACATACCCGACAAGAGACTTACTTCTAAAATTGATAGAAAACTTCAACATCAAAAGGACAATCTAATTTAAAAATGGGCAGAGGATATGAACAGACACTTCACCAAAGAAAATATTCAGGCAGTCAACAAACACATGAGGAAATGCTCATGATCATTAGCCATTAAAGAGATGCAAATCAAAACAGTAACGAGGTATCATATCACCTCAGCAATAATAATAGCCAAGTGCAACAAGACAGAAAACAAATACTCGTGAGAATGTGGAGAGATGGGAACTCTGACGTGGTGCTTATGGTACTATAAAATGGGGCAACCAATGTGGAAAACAGTATGGCACTTTTTTTTTTTTTTTAATGTTGGAAATAGAAACACCATTTGATCCAGCAATTCCACTTGTGTGTGTGTGTGTGTGTGTGTGTGGTTTGCCGTTGAGTCAGACCCGAATCATATCGACCCCTCCATGGGTTTCCAAAGCAGTATCACTATGGAAGTAGATTGCCCAACCTTCCTTCTGAGGAGTGGCTGGCGGATTTGAACCACCAGCCTTCTGGTTAGCAGTCCACTGCTAGGTGTATATCCTAAAGAAGGAAGAGCCAGGACACAGATAGATGTATGCACACCCATGTTTATTGCAGCACTATTCATAGTAGCAAAGAGATGGCAACAGCTTAAGTGTCTTATCAGTGGGTAAATGGATAACCAAACTATGGTACTTAAATACAATGGAATACTATGCAACATTAAAGAATAATGAAGAATCTCTGAAATGCGTCATAACATGGATGAAGTTGGAAGACATGCTCAGTGAAGTAAATCAATCACAGAAGGACAAATACTGTATGAGTCTATTATTATAAAAAGTCAAGGGTGGGTTTACATACAGAAAGAAACATTCTTTGATGGTTACAGGGATGGGAGGGAAACAGAGGGAAAATTGCCAGCTAACTAAGAGACATGTATTGATATGGGTGAAGGGAAAGACAATGTACCAAAAGCAGGTGGGCAGCATAGTATCACTAAGGAAAAGGAAGACACGGAGAGGTGTACAAGAGGTACAGAAAACAAAGGGAAACACTACTGTGTATGCAATACTGAATTATCAGCAATAACAAACATTAATCTGTGAGTGGATGCATAGGTAGATAGGATAATCAGGTATGGGTACGTATATGGGACCATACCCCATGACTGTATATAGATTCAGCAGATGAAATTTCTATATATGTATTTCTATGTACTATAAAAACTTCCATGTATACAATAGCATTTACAGGGGGCAGAGTTAGGATAATTTCTTAACCACAACCAAACATCTTGAGGCAGTGAGTCACTGGGCCTGTGGGCTTGCAACCATAGTCATGGGGGACATCAAGCTCAATTGGCATAATAGAGTACACAAAAACATTGTTCTACATCCTACTTAGGTGAATAGTAGCTGGGTTCTTAAAGCTTGTAAGTGGCCATCTGAGATGCATCTATTGATGTCTCATCATTTAGATCAAAGAAATGTGAAGAAAATTAAAGATGCATGGAAACAATTAGTCCAAGGAGCTAGTGACCATGTCAAAGTCAGCCTACATGACCCTGAGACCAGAAGGACTAGATGGTGCCTGGCTCCCACTGCCAACCACTCTGAAAGGGATGAAAATTGGAGATCCTGGATAGAGTGGGAAGAAGATGTGGAACAAAACTCAAAGACTAGGTTTATTGGTCTCATAGAGACTGGTGAAACTCCAAGACTGAGGCACTTAATCACCCTTCAGGCCTGAAATTGAACTCACTTTCGAGGCTCAACTTTCAGTGAAGCAACAGGCTTACGAGGTGAACAGTTATACCAGGCACATTTTCTTTAGAACAATCAATCTTAAGAGATAGAAAGGGCAGCATTTGCGCAGAAATAAAGATCATAAGGCAGGAATGCATAGGAAAGAAGGGGACAGGGAGAAGGTAACCTTGGAGGAAGTGGGAAAAGAGCTGTTATCTTGGGATTGCAATCAATGCCATGAAACAAAATGTGTGTGAACTATCGAATGGAATTTGCTCTGTAAACTTTCACACAAATCACAATAAAAAAGTAAAAAAACAAAGCAGTGTTATATATACTTTTTCCCATTTCACAAATGGTGAAACTGGAGTGTTGAGCTGCTAAGTATTTATCTGACATCACAGCCAATAAAAGGCAAAACTAAGACTTTCTAACAACTTTATTGAATGGCATAGAGTTTACATGCTATAAAGTTTACCTCTCAGTAATTTAGTAGTTTTTAGTACATGTACAGAGTTGTACAACCATGGCCATAATAGAATTTCTGAATATTTTTATCTTTAACAGAAACCTCGTACCTACTAGCCACCATCCTACAGCTTCCCCTTTCCCTAAGTCCTTCCCACCATTAATCTACATTAGATTTGCCTATTTTATTTAATAAAACCAAACCCACTGACATTGATTCGATTCCAACTTATAGTGACCCCCTTTGGGTTTCTGAGGTGGTAAATCTTTGTAGAAGTAGATTGCCAGGCTTCCTTCCACAGTGGCTGGTGGGTTTGAACCACTAACCTTCTGGTTAGCAGTCAAATGCCTGAGGCACTACACCACCAGAGTTCCTTATTTTATTTAATAGGTGCATATAACATGGAGCCTTTTGTGACTGGCTTCTTAGAATCATGTTTTTGAGGTTTATCCATGTCCTAGTATTCCTTTTTATTGCCAAATAATGTTTCATTGTGTGAATATACCATCAGAACCAACATTTGGACCCAAGTCAGTCTGGTTGTTAAACCTCATGCTGCTTTTACCTGCCATACTGATTGCTGTATGTATCCCAGTTGATGAGGTTACTGAGGTAGTAGCTTAGTATTTTATTGTTTTTCCCTCTTAAGGCTTTCTCAGGGTCCCTTGCTCATAGTAAACACTCGTTAAGTATTTTAATGTATACGCAAAAACCCAAGTTCTTGTTATTCTCTAAAACATGGTGTTAGGTGGGGAGAAAAGACGTGCCCAAATTTATGTATTTATCATAAAGGAGTGTTGTTACGTGCTGTCGAGTTGGCCCCAACTCATAGTGACCCCTCCTTGGGTTTCCGAGGCAGTAGCACTACAGAAGTAGGATTGCCCAACCTTCTTTCTGAGGAGTGGTGTAGAAAACCTAAATACCTTTTTCTGTGTCTAGGAAGAAGAAACGGCAGGAATCAAAGATTGCTGGGACAACCAGGAAGCACCTGCGCTCTCCACGTGTAGCAATGCCAGTATCTTTCGAAGGATAAATGGCATATTGGATAATTCTCTGGATTTCAGTAGAGTCTGCACTACACCTATAAATCGAAGAATTCATGAGCATTTGCCAGGTAATTTAGGTTTGAAAACTTGGCTGCACTAGGCTTGTATACAGAGCTGTTGCTTTATGAAATCTGTAACACAAAACCTTGAGTCAAGATTTGCCCCTTAAGTCATTTACTTTGTAGATCAGATACCTCTCTGGGTGAAGATTGCCTTTGATAGGAATATAGAAATCTATTTTTTAATATACACGAAGATAGAATAAAAAAGGTTAAGTCAAATGTAACAGGACGGTTAACATACAGAAATATAATGTGAGCCACATGTTATTTGAAATTTTCTGATAGCCACATTAAGAAAGGAAAAAGAAACAGATGAAATTAATACTTTATTTAATCTGACACATTCAAAATATTACCAAGTTAACATATAATCAAAAATATTATTAATAAGACAGTTTTAGTAATAAGACTTTGAAATCTGGTGTGTATTTTATAACACATCTTAATTCTGACTAGTAACATTTTAAGCGTCAGTAGTCACATGTTACTAATGGCTACTGTCTTGGATAAAACAGCTTTTGAGTGGTTCCAAGAGGGTTTTGCAGAAAGGACCTGCTATTTGGCTAGTACTCTACCAAGGTGGCCTTTGCTGAGTGAGGGGTGGAAGGAGCTGAGATGGTACTGAGAGGTCAGCCCAGAGCTGGATTGTCTTAGCCAAGTAGCTGTATAGTGAGGATGTACACACTCCTCGTGAGAGGAATGCCACCTAGAGGAATTTTTCTCTGCTTTTTAATGCTTTAACATACAAATCTATTGAACTGTGGGGAAAAAGAAAATAAATTGTAAACTGGACATGCAGTTAAAGTGTTAATGAACTGGATTTATTAATAGTGACTGAAGTTTAAAAACTAGAAAGATGTCATTAAGGGACGTCTTAACTACTAAGTAGATAAGGAGATTTCATATATATATGAATTTATTATACACGTTTATATAATTATGTTTATATATTATGTAAATTTGTATGTGTATATAAATGTATAATATACAGATATATAAACATATATATATGAATAACATGGATGAGGGAGTGACTGGAGGAAAGAAGTTTCATAGTAACTCACTGGGATGAGACTTCTCAAATAGTTATATATACATAAAGAAACATTTATATCCTAAGTGAAGAGTTCAGATTTTCACAAACTGAACACAACCATGTAACCAGCACCCAGGTCGAAGTGGACTCTCGACTTTTAATTTAAGACCGAAGAATTGTATAGTTGTATTTCCTGTATTGGATTTCTGACTGAAATGGTTTCCTTTTTTTATTCTGTAGGATTACAAGCAGTATTACCACTAAATTATCTGAAAAGCTGTTGTGAAACAAAGTTTAATACATTCTATTAGATTTTATTGAAATTTCTTTCAGGACTCCTGCTTCCCACAAAATTTTTTTCGTAGAACATTAATATATGGCTTTAACAGTTAAATGATAAAGATTTAACTTTTTATTGAAGTGTAACATACATACAGAAGAATACACAAATCAGTGAATTTTCACATGCTGAGCACATTTTGTATAACCACTCATGTATCTATAAACAAAAATTGATAATAGCCCAGAAGTCCTCTTGTAACCTTTCCAGTGTCTAACTCCCTGAGATCAATCACCATGTTGACTTCTAAGTACATAGATTAGTCTGTTTTTGAACATACATAAGTGGAATAATAGATATGTGTTCTTTAGCTATAAGATTCATCCATATTGCAGTCAGTAGTTCTGACTTACTGATTCCTGTAGTTGTGCAGTATTCTGTAGTGTAATTATACAAATGTTTATTCATTCTACTGTTAATAGATACTTGGGTAGTTACTAGTGTGGGGCCATTATGAAAATAGTAGTAGCTTCTATGAACATGTCTTTGGTGTACCTATGTACTTAATTTCTCTTAGGTATACTCCTAGGAGAGGAATCGTTTAGTCACATGTTCAACTGTCACACAGTTTTCACAGTGGTTGGATCAGGTTTACATTCTTCAGCAGTGTATGATGGGTGTAGGCAGTACCATATCCTCATCAGCAACTGGTATTGTCTATCATTTTCATTTTAACCATTATGGTGAGTGTGCAGTTATATCCCTATTATGGTTTTAACATGTATTTTCTTTTTTTTTTTTAATAATGACAATAAATATGAAACCCATAACTGTCTCCCCCCTGATTTTTATTTTATTTTTTTAAACTGTGATTTGGGTGAAAGTTTACAGAGCAAATTCACTTTCCGTACAGCAGCTCGCATTCACTTTGTCTCATGACATTGACTGCAATTTTCCACAATGCAACAGCCTCCCTCCCACTTCTCCATAGTTAGCTCTTCCCTGTGTCCTTCCCTCCCATGCATTCCTGCCTCCTGAGCTGTCTCCTGTGCATACACAGCCCTTCTATTCTTCAGTGATTATTCTCTCCAAGGAGTGTATCATGTAAATGTTCAGCTCATGTGCCTGTCTTTTGTTTGGCTGGAAGCCACAGGTGTGGGTTCAATTCCACCTGAAGGGCAGCTAGGGGCCATAGTCTCAGTGGTTCCACCAGGCTCTATCAGACCAGCAAACCTGGTCCCCCCCTCCCACCTTTTTTTTTTCCCCAAATGCTTTTGAGTTTTGTTCCACATTGTTCTCCCTCTCTATCCAGGGTCTCCTACATAGATTCCCCCTCCGAGTGGTTGACATTGGTAGCCAGGCACTGTCTAGTTCTCCTGGTCTCATAGTCGTGCAGGCTGTGGATTATGCACACATGGTGATTAGTCGCTAGGACTAATACTTTCCGTAAATCTTTGGTTTTCTTCATTTTTCTTTGCTCTGGACGAGGAGAGACCCATTGTTCTATCTAGATGGCTGCTTGCAGGCTTTTAAGATCCCAGTCGCTACTCGCCAAAGTAGGAGGTGGAACAATGCTTTGTGTAGTATGTTATGCCAATTGAGCTTGATGTCCCCTGTGACTATGGTCCCGAGCCCACAGGTTCAACTGCTCACTCCCTCTGGGTAGCTGGCAGTGACCAAGAAGTGACTACAACTTTGCCCTTGTTGACTTGACTGTACACCTGGGAATTCAGTTTCATGGATAAACCTTTCCTTGATTTTTAAAATTATGGACTAATACAGTATTTGTCTTTCTGTGATTGACTTATTTCACTCAGCATAATATCCTCCAAGTTCATCCATGTTACATGGTGCTTTGCAGGTCTGTGTTATTTTTTTAGGATTGCATAGTATTCTGTTGTGGGTATGTACCATTGGTTACTCATTCTGCTATTGATGGACTCTTAGGTTGTTTCCATCTTTTGGCTATTGTAAGTAGTGCTATGATTAACGTGTGTGTGCATATATCTGTTCTTGTTCTGGCTCTCACTTCTTTAGGATATATACTTAGTAATGGAATGGCTGGATCAAATGGTATTTCTAATTCCAACTTTTTAAGGAATCGCCATAAAGCTTTCCACACTGGTTGTGTCATTTGACAGTCCCACCAGCAGTGTATGAGAGTCCCAATCTCTCCACATCCTTGCCAGCATTTGTTACTTTCTGCCTTGTTGAATTTTGCTACTAATGCTGGGACAAGATGGTATCTTCTTCTTGTTTTGTTTTGTATCTCTCTAATGGCTGATGATTGTGAGCATTTCTTTGTATGTTTGTTGGCCACCTGAATATTCTCTTTGATGAAGAGATATTTGATATTTCATGTCTTCTGCCCATTTTTTAATTGGAATGTTAATTTTTTTTGTTGTTATAGAGGTGTTGGGTATTGGGGTTTTCTATAAATTCTAGAGATAAGTCCCTTGTCAGATGTGTCATTGCCAAATATTTTTTCCCAATCAGTAGGTTCTCTTTTGACTCTTTTGGAGAAATCTTTGGAAGCACATAAATATTTAATTTTTAGAAGGTCTCATTCATCTAGTTTGTCTTTCTGCTGTTTGTGCGTTTTGGGTTATGCTTGATAGTCTCTTTATACCGTATATTACGGCCTCTAAATTTGCCCCTAGTTTTTCCTTGAGGAACTCTATAGTTTTAGGTTTCACATTTAAGTCTTTGATCCATCTGGAGTTAGTTTTTGTGTGTGGTGTGAGGTTACAGATCCTGTTTCATTTTTCTGCAAATGGATATCCAGTTTTGCTAGCACCATTTATTAAACAAACATTCTCTTCCCCCATTTAATGGATTTCGGCCCTTTGTCAAAAGATCAGCTGACCCATAGATTGATGCATCTATTTCTCGGTTCTCAGTTCTATTCTGTTGGTCTGTGTGTCTGTCATTA